GACAATAAGGAGGACCCGCGCGGCGGTGTTCCCGCCCCGGGGAGCTGCCGGCCCGACGGCTCCGCTCCGCCGCGCCCCCCGAGCCGGGCTTTAAAGCCCGGGTGGGGAGGCGGAGCCCCCGGGCGGTCCCGGCCCCCCTCGCAGGGCGGAGCCGGACACCCCCCCCACGCCCGCAGCTGAGACCCCTGGGGACACCGGGCTGCGCCCTCCGCCGCCCCCAGAAAGCCCCTGCCCCATTCCTGGACGCGCGGCAGCTCCGGTGCCCGGCAGCCCCCTGTGCCAAGGTGCCCGCCGCAGCCCTGTGTTGGCTTCGGTGGAGCGGGGCCAGCAGGCTGAGCTCAGCCCCTGCCGCTGGGCAGGAGAGGCCCCGAAGCTTGCAGCTGCAGGCAGGGGAGAAGGGGGCGGGCAAGGTCGCACCCCGCTTTGCTGAATCCTGGATCTGCCCCACTGGGCCCGACACCCCTGGTCCCTGCCCTGGGCTTTCTGCTTGCACTCCTGGGAGTCTCCAGGTGGGAAGAAGACGGATGCTGATGTGCGAAACCCCCCTGTGCCCTGCCCTGTGCCCTGCCCTGCCCTGGACCTGTGGGTCCATCCGAACGCGTGCTGGGCTTTCCCCTCCATGGCCCTCCAACTCTGCACCCCCTAGGACCTGGACCGGGGGCACGTTCACCCACCTTCATAAGTGCCTTGATAGATGCTATTGAAGGCTTCCTGATGTCTGAGAAATAAACCAGGCTAAAAACCCAAGTCCCAGGTCACCTGGAGCCAAACAGGCGAGTGCGGTTGCAGCAGCCAGTGCCTACAGCCAGGGCGACGCGGCTGGCATCGCTTCCAGGCTGGCTGGGTCAGAGGCGGCTGCATGACCCGGTGCCCGTTACAGCTGGGTCAAAGGGGGGTGACTCCTGGCACGAGAGCAGCTCAAATTCACAGCGATCCCCCTCCTTGGGGGCTCCAGCAGAGCCCCGGCGTGCGCACGGTTATTCAAACGGGGCAAAAAGGAGTGTCCACATTAAGAGGCTTCGTCTTTATTTCACCATCTAGACTGAGAGCTGCATTGGGAACACAGCAGAGTTTCCCATCAACTGGCCCCTCTCCCAGGCTGAACGCCGTCAGAGTCCCTCAAGAGCAGGGCAGGCATCGGAGGAAGGTGCAGAGACTGAATACTGACATGGGTGGCAGGACCCCGCCTGGAAAAGCACAGGTTTCCATGGAGCCTTGAAAGCGGGAGACCCCGGGGGGGACAGGGCGTTGGCAGCTGATGGGGAGGTACCGGAAGGACAAGGGAAGCACACGAGCCACAGTGACGAGTCGTTTCATGCCTGAATATCTCCTCTGGTGGAGCTGAAGAGCCTGCACAAAGGAGAGATGCTGGGATGGATGGCGGGCCCTCATCCACGGGATAGGGAGACCTGGCCCAGCAGCAGAGGCGTGAGCTGCTTACCCAGCGTCTGGGACTAGAAGGCGACCTCCTCCTCCCCCTCCAGTGGGACGCTGAGCACGACCTCCTCGTCCGGCAGGCACCTGAGCAGAGAGGAGACAGCTGTCAGGAGCAAAGCCGGGCACGGCAAGGGCATAAGGCTGTGGCTCAGGGCGCAAGCCCAGCTCCAGCTCCCAGGCACATCGCACACTGTGGGAAATCAAGAGTCAGGTGACTTGCCAAATGGCACGCAGCAAGTCAGTGGCAGAGGCAGGAACAAGCCCTTCCTCTCCTGCCTCCCGGACTCTGGCTCGAACCACCCTGCAAGGCCGAGGCAGGGAACGGGGGGCATGAGGAGAGGCATGAAGGGGCTCTGCTTTGGCAATTTGAATACAAATGCAGAAGGGGAGGGGACCCCCTGCCTCCTGCCCCCCAGCTCTGCTTCTGCACCATGGGCAGTTTGTGCTCTGCCCGGCCTGGCGAACGTGGGGCATCCCCCTCCCCGCGCCCTGAGTTCCCCTCCTCTCACAGCCGCTTCCGGGGCCAAATCCAACCTCCCCGGGGCTGGCATCTGGAAAACCAACGAGCTAATTAAAAAGGCAGAAAGAGCCGGGGAAGTCATGTGAAGCGCGTGAGGGGGTCAGTGGGAAACATCCCAGGGGTCATCGTCAACGAGATGGCAGGGGTGGCTCTGGCCCAGTCTCCCAAGGCCGTCAGGGCTGGGCCATCACCTCTGCCCGCCTTGGGAGGTTGCAGAAACTTTCCACTTGCTCCCCCTTCTATTTTTAACCCTTTTTCCAGCTGTGCACAGTAACCCTGCCCCCACCCCCTCCCCCCCAGCTGTCAGGACTAATTAATACCCCTTTTATCCTTTTTTTTATTTGGAAAAAAAAAGTAAGTCCCAGTAATACATCACAAGGGCCTTCAGCTCCCGCCAGCTTCTGACATGTTCCAGGCGTTCCTTCTGCTTTGGATCATGCCTTTAGCGCTCTCCCCCCACACCTGGACAAACAGCGGCCGCAGGGCCGGGAGACAGGAGACCTGGGCCCGCTTGTCGGCTCTGCCTCCGGGGGTCCGTGCAGGTCCCTGGGGGGAGCTCTCTATCCAAAACAGAGGGGATCCGCAGGCCTGAGCTGCCTCAGCAGAGCCGCTATAGGCAGGTCCGTCTCCTTCGCAGCGTGTCCGCACACATAGTGGCTGTAAACCAGCGTGCAAACGGGGCCGAGAGCTGCACACTCATTTCATGTGCACGACTGCCAGTTTTACACTCTCTGGTGTTCAAACCCCTTCAGTGTTTAGGCCAAATAGTGCCCTGACTTATCCCCCAGCTCAAAGCACTAACACACAACGGCTGGAGGCAGCTGCAAGTCCCCTGGCGCTCTTCCATCACGCTTCTATTTTAAGGCGACAGCATTTCCGCTGGATGCCGCGGCTCTCCGGCGGGCTGTGGACTGCCATCTGGTGTCCGCAGCGTCCCAGCCGCCCTCGGGTAGGGATGGGTGGGTTACAGGGTGGGTTGATTGCCTCCCTCTCTATGTCTGCAGCCAACGGCCTGGCACAGCCTTTCGGTTTGTTCCTGAGACAAGAGCCCGGTACCCCTGCGAATGGGCCGGCAGGGCCTTCTGCACATTGATGTGCCAGCGAGGATATCCAGCTTGCTTCCCATACCTGCTGGCCAACATCAACCAGCCGTGGTGTTTTGGATGGGCGCGGGGATTCTCCAACACTCGGGGCTGAAAGCAACCAGGCTCCGGCGGATGGACGGGGGCTGGAAGGGCGCAACGCCTGCCTTGGAGACCGCTGTTACCCAGCAGGAAGCATGCTGATGATCTTCTCCACCTAGTCGTGCATGTGTGTGTGTGTGTGTGTGTGTGTGTGTGTGGGGAGGGGGGTGTTAAACAGCCCACCCAAACGTGGCGTCAGTGCCTGCTCTGTGGCTTCACTTTCCCAGCAGCAGAACAAGATGCAGAACGAGGACTTGGCTGTGGTGTGACACAGGAGACAGGGAAAAGGCTCAGCAAGCCCTTGCCTCTTTAGTGACATCAAAAGAGTCCCCTCCATTTCGCAGGCCGGGGAAGTGGAGGCACGGAGAAGGGACATGGCTGGACCAGGCGGACAGGATCAGAGCCGCGGCCAGCACTTCCTCTTCTGCGCTAGGACCATGAGGCCGGACACCCCGCTTCCACGGCAGGTGCCTGGACCACCACTGGGTTTCCATGGGATGATGCTCAGAGCTGGGACGACGGTGCTGGGAGGCCAAGTTTAGTCACATACGGTGCCAGAGCAGCCGGGATGGGAAGCGACCCTCAGAGCCCCCATGCAGAGAGCGAACCAGGTGCAATCACGGACAAGGGTGTCAGGATGGGCGACGGCGCCTGGCCTGGCTGAGGATGCAGATGCGAGGACTTACCTGGGCTTGCGGAGCAGGACGTCGGCGAAGATCACCTCTCGGGGGTCCCTGAGGTCCCAGCGCAGCCTCTGGATGCTGTGCTGCAGCTCCATGATGTCTTCCTGCAGCTCCTTGATTATCTGGAGGATGGCATGTGGGAGACCAGCTGCTGGGCTGCTTGGTGCCCCCCGCACACTCCCCCCTTCATCCCCGGTCCCAGTGCAAGAGAGCGGTTGCAGTGCAGGACCCTGCACCACAGGGGATCAGACCTGCCAAGCCTGCTGCCCCCCACTCTCCTCCTCACCTCCTTCTGCATTTGCACTTCTTTCTGCAGCACCCGGTTGTTGGCGGACATCTGCTGCAGGCCGTCCTTGTAGGGAGACAGCATTTCCTGCGCACACAGGGAAACGCCCCCCAGGTGAGGGGACAGAAACAGCGGCGGGCAATCCCAGCCCCTGGCTGTGCTGGAAGAGGTGCAGAAAATCCAGGACAGCCACAGGGCAGCAGCGCACGGGCATCTGCACTACCGCACCGCTGCTGGGCACAGCTCGCACCCCCCTGGTGCCATAGTGGGTAGGACCCGCCCAGGTCCTTCCACTGATCATCGTGCACCTGAAAGATGGTCACAATCCCCTCACCTCGATCACAGCCCGGATGATCTGCTCCTGCTCCTCCTGCATCTTCTTGCTCAGGCCCCCCAAGACACTTCTTGCCATCTCTTCCAGCTCATCTGTTTCGTACTGGGAATCGCCCGGGTCGGGGGCAAGGAACCAGAGAGCAGAAGGCACATGAGCAACTCAGGACCTTGCTCCCTAGCCCTCGGTCAGGAAGGAGAGGACCCCTCACCTGCTGCTCCTCCTTCAGGCTCTGGATGTCGCGCAGCAGCTGGTCTATCTGGATGGCCTTGGCGGGGTACTCCTTGTCCATGTATGTTCGCAGCACGCCCAGCTCATCCTGCAGCGCTTGCACCTTCCTGTTCACCCGAGCCAGCTCCTGCTGCAGCTCTGACAGAGACACGGGAAGGGCAAGCTGAGCCCCAAGCCCCTCTCTGCGGGCGCTGCCCGCTCAGGGGAACCAAGGCAATGTTTGTTGCCCAGAGCAAGGCCCTTCACTTTGCAGAGGTCACCGGGGTGGACAGAGAAAGAGGCTGTCTCCCTGTGCAAAGCTTGAAGGATGCTGATGTGAAACCTAGGCAGTTGTGATGCCCGGAGGCAATGACACAAGGAGGCAAGGATGGCAGGCATCTCATGCCAGCTCGGGGTGATGCGTCCATCCTTACTTGCCAGGTTGTTCTCCATGGTTTTCTCTGCCTCCTGCAGCTCCACTGCCGCTGCGCCCAGCTGGTGCCGGCTGGAGTCCTGAAGGGTCGTCACCATCGTCTAGAGAGAGAGGAGCCGCGTTGCCGCCTGCCCGGGCCTCTCCACAGGACTCTGGGCACCCCCTCGCCACGGGCTGCATTGCCCCAGCTAATGGCAGGGTGGAGCTCCCCCTGAATTGTGGAGCTCCGCAGTGCCGTGGCATACAAGCTGCTGAGGATCTCCTGAGCGCAGACCCCCCCGGACCACTGGAGATGTGCGGGTTGAGGCTTGAGCCACGTCACGGGTCATGCAGCAGCTTGGACCTCCTTGGGCATGGGTTGGGGGAGCTGAGTGGACCCCACTGGGCACCCGCCAGCCTCACCCCGAAGACTTCGTACTGCTGCAGCAGCTCTCGGACTTGCTTGACGGCGCTATCCTCAGCCTGCTGCACCTCCTGGACCAAGCGCTCATTGGTCTCTGCCAGGAAGGCGCCGTGCTGCTTCAGCTTGTCCAAGGATGTCCTCTGCGACCTGGTCAGTCTCTGGAAGAAAGCAGTATGGAAGGCACGTACCCGCTTGCCGAGCTTCCTACACTCCAACATCCCCCCTCCCGGTGCCCGTAGCCCTACCCCGGAGATGGGCCTTGCTTGGTTTTCATGCCAGCCCTCCAGCCATACAACTCCCCCTGCTCCCCCTTTCCTCAGTGGCCAACTGCTTTATCACTGCTTTCGTCCTCCTGCTCCTCAAAGGGCTTTGGGCCTGATTCCTCCTTGCTCTGTTGCTGGGCCATCACCTGCCTGAGCAAAAGCCGACGTGAGATCAGCTCATGCTTCCAGATCGGAGGGGCAGCGGCTCCCCTTCGCAGGACTCCCCTGGCCCGCTGCCTGCAGGGGGGCAGGTCATACACCCACCCTTCCCCGCGGGACTTCTCTAACCTCCAGGGAAGGAGGCTCCGATACGACCGCTGCAGTGCTAACTCCTTCCCTGCAGCCCAACCTGAGTCATCTTCGCTGCAGGTGAAGCTGGTTTCTTCTCATCCGCCTCCCAGGGGCCGGGGAAAACCATTGCTCCCCTAACAATGCTCCTTTCTGTACTGGGACACGTACGTCCACACCACCCATTTCCTCTTTCCCAGACTAAATAAGCCCAGTTCCTTCTACTCTGCCCGGAGGCTGCATGTCCCAAACCTCCGGTCGTGCTTGGGGATCTCCACCGGACCTTCCCCATGCAACTACATCCCTTTCCACCTGGACCCAGTGCCCCCGTGTGCTGGTCGACTGAGGCCACCCCAGTGCCCGGGAAGGCAGAACAACCTCCTGTGTCTTCTGCACATGCACGGCTTATGCCTGACTACAAATGAATCGGGCAACCAGTTTTTCTCCTCCACGAGGACAGGCCCAGCTCGCTGAATGCAGGTGGGTGCAGCCCTGAAGACTTCCTTCATGTACCGTAAAGATTTTGATATTGTCCAGGCTTCTTGTGAGCTCCGTGTCCTTGGCCGATGTCTTCTTTGGAGCAAATCTCTGCTTCCGAAGAGAGGCCAACTTTGCCGGCGAGGCTGATCTGACACCAAACTGGGCTGGTAAAACAGAAGATGCCCCGCACTGACATTTCTGCCTGGCTTTAATGCCTTACCCGAAGGGTGCAGGCCTCACGGATGCCATCCAGGGAGTTTAGGGAATGCCTGTGGTGGGAGCTGAAGATCCAGGTGTGAGGCACTCTGTGTCCTGCTAGCTGCAGCTCCTCTGGGCTTTGCTTTCCCAGATGGGGAATGGGGTAGAGGCGCCAGCTTTGGGGGGCTGCACAGCTGCTCTGTGCCCAGGTGCCCCCCACAGAAAAATGCACCTGAGCTGCCGGAGAGGTGCAGATGGGCAGCAATATGCTACAGGGCGTAGGGGGCAGGAGCTAGACTGACCTGGCTGCCTGCCTCTCTGGGAGCAGGCAGAGCTCACTTCCTTTCTCCTGTCCGGCGAGGCGATGGAGGGCAGAGACACCTTCTTCTTTGCTTCCACCCGCTGCCACTTGCTGTAATCCTGAATGCAGCGTCCCGGGAAAGCAGGACGTTGCTGCTTCAGAGGCAGAGGCAGAGCCACAGCCCCTCTGCAAACACCCCCGTGCGCCCACCCTGTGTTGCCCCTGGCCTTGCGCAGAGCCCCGGGTCGGGCTCTGGCTCTCAGCCCGTCTGTCAAGGAGAGGGCACCAGTGTGCCTGGCATGTGCTCCATCCAAACTGCAACTGCACCTGGGCTCTGCATGCTCCCCCATGCCCCCAGAGCCTGGTTGGACACGGCCTGGAGGGGACTTACTGTCTTCTCCTGCTCCTTCACCACTTTTGGGGTCAGGGTGCTCAGGCCCGGAGCAGCCATCACCACCCGGCTGCAGGAGGTGGAGGAATGGACCGGGCCCTATGGATAGGGCAGGTTACAGCACGCACGACCTGTCGGGGCTGGGAGTGGGGGGCACGGCCCCCTGGGAGACCATGACCCACCGGGGCACGGGGGACCCGGGGCGCCTCCCTAGGGCTCCCCCAGGCCTCCGGGTACCGCCTCCCGCTCCGCAGCTCCAGGCACCCCCGTCAGGCTGGTCCCTCTCCAGGGCGTCGTGTGTCCTAGCAACCCAGGAACACAGCCAGCCGCCATGGCAACGGGAGGCGGGTGCGGAAGCAGCTGGAGATGGGATGGCAGCTGGGCCGGCGGCCTGTGCCGGGCAATGCCCCCGCCCGGGCCCATGGGTTACTGCCACTAAGGAGACCAAAGCCAGCACAGGGGCAGCTGCAAAAGCCAGGCAGGTGCATGCTGCATCACTTCAGCTGCAAGCCCCTGAATCCGTGCAAGTGCCCCAGAGAGCAAGGCCAGCGCTCAGAGAGAGCCATGCCTGTCCCCCAACATGCACGCGGCAGTGCCCGGTACGGGATCAGAGCTGGGCGTGCAGAGCCGAAGCAGACAGACCACCCTGCGGGCTTCGAGGTTGCGTTTGTTCTGTTTATTGGAGGGTGCAGATGCCGTCACGTTACAGAGAGGAACAGTCCTGCGGCGCCGGCTGCCCGGGGCGGTTCGTGAGTCAGCCTCGTTCTGCTCCCCAGACCCCCTCACTGCGCACGGGAAGGACTCGGTCACCTCCTCAGACCTCCCCCGTGAGCCAGGCCAGAGGCTTTTGCCCGATACAGTCACCACCTGCTCCAGGCTAGCGAAGCGGTGTCCGTCTGGACGCATCTATACCAGAGCAGCCTGGTCCTGGGGTCCAGCTCCCTTCTGCAGAGGCTGGTTCAAGTGCAAGGCCTGTCACCACAGCCAGCTGCGCTGCTATCCACTAGCACGTGCCAGGCTTCAGTCGATCTCCCTCTGTAGCAAATCACTGCAACTAACTCAGGAACCTTGGATTCACCCAAGGCCTCTTCCCGGGAGAATGACAGCAGTCTGACTCCACGCCCCATCTCCTGCCCCGGGTAGGCATTGGTAGTAATCTCCCCCAGCCCCCGGTGAGCCCAGACATTAGCCCAGTGCTGTGACGTCTGGGGCTGAGTGTTGCTTGCTATTCCATATTGCCAAGACAGCCACAGAGAAGCAAAGGGACTTGGTCAAGGTCAAACAGGGAGTCTGTGGCAAAGCTGGGACTAGGCCCTGGCTCCTAGCTCTGTCCCCTCTGCTGATCCCAGTTCACCCGGACTCTCCCTGTGTGCTGTGCCGAGGAGCAGGAGAAAGGCAGAGAGGACAGGACGGGTCAGACCGGGGGTTAGTACGGGGGTCAGGGCTGGTCCGCGGCGGTGCCTGCGCTCAGGCTCTCGTGGCTGCCTCAGGGCTCGATGCTGCCCACCAGCTCCGTGATGAGCGTCTGCAGGGCAGCAGCCCGCGCCTGGCTGGCCTCCAGCACGGCCTCGTGGCTGGCGCTGTCCTTGCTGTCGTAGTCCCGCACCACCGTGTTGGTGATCAGCGAGAGGCCGAAGACACGCAGCCCGCAGTGCTTGGCCACGACCACCTCGGGGGCCGTGCTCATGCCTGGGGGTGGGGGAAGCCGGGTCAGCGCGGAGTGGACACCACCCAGCTCTGAGCAGCCTGGGACACAGATGTGAGCGCTGGGGCCTGGTGCAGCCCTAGTGTAGACAGGTCCCCCACCTCGCAGCGGTGGCTGCACACAGGACCGGCTCAGGGCTGGCGAGGCTTAGCTCAAGGCAGAAAAGGGCAGGGGCTGGCATCTCAGGGTGGGAAGGAAGCCTGAGTTTGGGCCCCCCTTTGACTTCTTACCGACAGCATCGACCCCCAGTGCCCGCAGCATCCTGGCCTCAGCCACGGACTCGAAGTTGGGGCCCCCCACCATGCAGTACACGCCCTCCCTGACGAAGGCCGAGTAGCCGAGCTGCTCGGAGATCTCCAGCGCCCGCGCACGCAGCTCCTTGTCGTAGGCATCGGAGAGGGCGGGGAAGCGGGGCCCAAACCTGGGGAGGGGAACGAGCCTCAAGGGGCTGCTTGGCTCAGATCCAGTGGGGGAGGCAGCCAGGCCAGGGCAAGGGGGAGGGAACAGGGACACCCAGACACCATTGCCATGAGGCCACGCATGCACAGGGCAGGTTCCACCTCCCCGGGATGCCAGTGTCAGGCTAGTATCATTATGCCCCTTTTCCAGATGGGGAAACTGAGGCACGCAATGGGGAAGGGATCAGTCCAAGGCTACCCAGCAGGCCAGTGGCAGAACCAGGGTGCAGCCCAGGTCTTCACAGCCCCATCCACATGCTCCAGCCCCCAAGGTGAGGACAGAGAACATGGCCTGCAGTCTGATGCCCACCTGGAACGGCTCCCCACAAACCGCCTCCACCCCCACGGGTATTACCGCTCCTCGTTGGGCCCCAGCAGCGGGTTCAGTCCGGCCAGGCCCGGCAGGTTGACGTGGTCCCGGATGACCATGATGTCCCCGGGGCTGTAGTTCTCCGCCAGGCCCCCCGCAGCGTTGGTGACCAGCAGGGTCTCCACGCCCAACAGCTTGAAGACTCGGACGGGGAACGTAACCTCAGGAAGGAGAGTAAACGGCCCTTTGGGCATCTCGTCCTGGGCCGGCCTCCTCCTGTCCCCTGGGCAGACTGTCCAGACAGTCCCCTGCGCCCCCCTCCCCTCGCGGATCAAGTGCGGACCCCCGAGCCTGCGGACAGCAGCGGTGCCAAGCTGCCCCCGCCGCTCCGTCTCCTGCCCCAGTGTGGCCCTGGACTCCACAGCTGAGGCCCTGGCTCTGGGCCTGGCTACGGCTGCCCGTCCCGGCCGCTGGCTGACCTACCTTCCAGAGCGGGTGCCCCTCGTACATGTGGAAACGCCCCTTCATGCAGACGCATGGCTTTCCCTGCAGCTCCCCGAAGACCAGCTGCCCGGCGTGGCCTGCCACTGCGGAGGGGCTGGGCATTGGGTGAATGCAGCATGCATGCCAGCCCGCCCCAGCCCTGCCTCCTCCCACCGCGCTTTCCAGTAGGCTGCTGCACCCTGCGACCTGCTCTGAAGACTAAGCAATGGGGGCAGTGAGGTGCAATTTGGGACTCAGCCCCTGGCAAGCCCTGCACAGCCCCTGCCCTGTGCCTGGCAGGTCTGGTGGTCACGTGCACCAGAAGCACCTGTCAGGGCCTGACTGCAACCACGGAGGTGGGCTGGAATGATAGAGGATCCCTCTGAAGGCAGTTTGCAGGAGCAGGGGGGGAAGGCAGCTGGGAGCAGAGAAATCCCCTGCGAGTCCCACATGCAATGAGTGTGCAGAGCCTGGGACCGTGGCCGAAAAGCAGAGCTTGCAGGGAGGCCTGCGCCTGCCCACCCTCTTCGTGCGATGAGCCAAGAGGCGGCCCAGCCCCAAGGCAGGGAGCCAGCTCTGGGACTGGAAAGCACAGGGAGATTAGTGCTGGGCACAAGCCGCCTGCCAGGCTGGCACTGCCAGGGCGAGGGGCCACGTTGTCCCTGCGGGTCCCGGCACATGGGGCAGAGGGTGCGTGGGTACCTGTGCTGCTGGGGAAGTTGGGGATCTCCGAGTAGCCGAAAGCCTCCGGACTTTGCAGGGTGTCGGCCAGCAGGCCCAGCCCTGAGCCGCAGATGACGGCGACGCGGGGCCGCTGCCGGGTGTGGGACAGGAGCCAGTCCGCGGTCTGCTCACACGCCTCGAAGCTGCGGGGATGCAGAGGGTGAAGTCAATGGGCGCCTGGCACCGCTCTCCCCCCTGCCCGCCCCAGTGGGGCCCTTCGGAGCAGCTCTGCCGTGGCCGACGGTCCGTGCAGAAGAGCTGGGGAAGTTGGTCCCAGTGGCTGCAGGGGAGGGAGTCCTGCCAACCTGGCGGAGAAGCTGCCAGGGCAGGGGGCTCCTGGTGCATTTGTCTTCACGCCTGCCTCTGGTCCCAGCCACGTCCGGGCTCTCGTGCCCTTGCCCGCTGCCACCCCTCACCAGTGCTGCTGGGGAGGGTTATCTCCCATGAGACACGGCTTTCTTTCCCGACCCCTGCCAGGGTTTTATGCCTGTCTAGGTACCCCCTAGAAAATCATGAGCACCTCAGGAGCAGGGGGAGCCAGTAAAGCTGCCCAGCTCCATCCTAGGCGGGCAGAAAGGGGGATGAAAGACTTGCTAGCAGCTAAAAAAGCCAGTTACCGAGAGCATGACGTGGGACACGGCAATTCCCTGTGAGCATTGAGGTCCACATAACTGATCACACATGTCCAGGTACACACACGCACACGTGCACACCCATCGTGCCGCGCAGCCCTTACCTGAAGCTCTCTTTTTCGTGCATCTCGACTCTCCGCCAGGAATGCAATTTGCAAGAGACAAAGCACCTGCAAAAGCTGCACC